CAGTAAGCAGGTACTTTGAAGCTCTTGAGACTGATGGTAGAATGTCTCTGGTCGGAGGTGTTGATACCTGTGAGACCGAGCTTGTAGCTAGTTGGCCAACATGTGGTTTTTGACTGCAGTAGAATCTAACTTTGGTGTTTGAATTGTAAAGTTTGAGAAATGTATTTTTTGATTTTTGGTTTTTTGATTTTTTGGTTTTTGGTGTTGCTGGTACTTTTTGTCAAAAGGTGACAATGCAATGAAAACGGTGTCTACCACTGGAAAATTGGGCAAAAAGGGGTTTTTGCCATGACTTTTACTCCAGTACAGGGGTTTTATCCCTGTATTTGAGTATTTTCTGTAGTTTTGTCTTTGGTTTTTGAATTTCGCACCCGGGGATTGTGATTTTCGTTTTTTGAAATTTCGCATTGTCACTTTGGAACGTCTCACATTCCGTACAGGTCCATCAAACTGGGTTGCACAGGGGCAGCAACATGCAGGTAGACAAGCTAACACTCCGTTCAAAAGTGGGAGAAATAATGGGAAGGGGAATAAGAATGGCAAAGACAACAAATGGTGAGCATTAGATGCTGGTTGTCCAGTGTCTAAGGGTTTTACTTACTCACGGTCTTTTGTTTCCTTCTCAAGCCCCTCCCGTATCTACTTTTGCATACAACCACTTCACGCAATTGCATATGCGATTGGCTGCCGCTCAATTATGGCTTGACGCTGGGCGGATGATCTGTTGATTGACTGGTGGGTGTTGAACAAATTAGATTGTCCTGTGCTCTAGCCGCTACTCTTGAAGAGAATAGAATTTTTGAAATGGAAAAATTTCCCCTTTTTGCTTTGTGAATCCCATAATTGCTTCACACCATAGTGAGTAGCCGTGACAGTACCTGCATCCCTGAGAGACCAATTGTACAACACTTGAGCGGAAGTACAGATGGAGAGTTAGAAACAACTGTACGTCAAGAAGACCAAAATGTCAGAACCCAGCTACATAGTCTGGATTCAGAATACGGATCAGATGGAGAAGAGAAAGCGTACTCAGAGGAAGTCTCACTTAGCTCATCATCGGACGAAGAGTCACCCAAGACGAAGACGATCCTCCCACTACACAAACGCAAACTTTATAAAGCAAAAATAAAGACCATGTGGCCTAGCCCGGTGAGATGCGATATGAATATCACCGAGTGGATACGACTGATGAAAGAAGTGGGCCTAGACAATGAAATTCCTTACATTGTAGATGGTTTCAGAGACGGTTTCTGTCTGGGTATTCCGCAACATACATTAGAGAACAGGAAGTGGTATACTCCAGAAAATCACTCATCAGCACTTCTAGTCAGAGAGCAGATAGAGAAGACTTTAGCAAAAGAAAAGAAAGAAGGAAGGATGGTAGGACCATTCACACACAATGAGGTATACCAAAGGTTCGGATTCTTTTGTTCAAGCCCGATGGGTAGCACGATCAATGGAGATGGCTCAGTCCGTCTTATCAACGACCTGTCATACCCACAAGACGATCCGAAAATAGCATCAGTTAACTCCTTCGTTGATAAGCACAACTATGAGACCAACTGGGACGACTTCAAAGCCGTGTCCAATTTCTTCAAGGAGAACCCAGGCGCATGCTATATGGCGTTGGTGGACTGGGCTAAGGCCTATCGCCAGCTCTGGGTTCATCCAAGTCAAAGACGGTTTTTGTGTATCATCGATTTTTATGGGAGAGTTTGGATAGATCTTGCAGTGGGCTTGGGGGAGTTGCCAGTTGCGGTGTCTTTGGAGGACCGGCGGAGGTATGGAAAGAGGTGGTGAAGGAAACGCTAGCCTTACCAAAAATATGTTGATGGGTCGACGATAATCTCCTATTCAAGAGACCAGATTCGAAGGTGACATTGAAGGAAATCATAGAGTTAAGTAGCTAAATGGGCATCAGGACAAATCCAGAGAAGAATATGGAGTTTGCAACAAGCCAACAGTATTTGGGATTCGTCTGGGATGGGGTGAACCATACGGTGCGGCTGCCTAGTGATAAATTAAAACAGAGAAGAGATCAGGTAGATGAGTTTTTGGTACCAGGAGGAAAGTGGAAGTATGAACAAGTTGACGTACTGGTAGGGAGGTTGTGCCATACGGTGAATGTGGTCCCACAAGTGGCAGCATACCTGAGGTCCTTCTACCGATGGCTGAAGAGCTGGAAGAGGAGACGGGCAATGAGAAAGACCCCGGAGGATGTGATCGAAGATCTGAAGGAGTGGAAAATTTGCTTACAAGAATTTAAATGTCTACACTTAGTGAAGGACCTCCCAACAGAGTGTGTGGAGTGGGTAGGCGATGCGTTGTCCTCCTTCGGGTAAGTGGATTGACTGTATACTGGTGTGCTGGTTCCTGATTAGTTTCATCTTCCCATTTGGCTCGACGCTCACACCAAATTGGGCAATAGGGTGGGTATCCTCGTAGGAGAATACTGGGCGTGCTTCAGGTTCTTGGAAGACTGGAAATTCTTAGGTCTCCAGCATGAGAAGCGATCGATTGCTTGGGCTGAAACAATTGCGGTAAGGTTAGGACTGCTGGTCCTACGCAAGGTAACAAGTGTTAGAGGTCGATTGTTCTGGGTGGAGACTGACAATACCACGACCGAACACACCATTTGCAAGAGTAAATGCAAGGATAAAAGGGTAAACAACGAATGGAAAGAGATTCAGCGTCTACTTTCAATCTTAGGGTGTAACATAAAAGAGAAACATGTTACGTCTAAGAATAACGCAGCAGACGGGCTTTCGAGAGGGAAGGCAATAGGTCGATTGTGGTGGAAGGAGGTTCTAGTAGATGTTCCAAAAGACCTGAAACCCTTCTTGACACAGGTTACTCCGCCGACGGAGGTAAATGATTTGTGATTCCTCGAGCCCCGTTGTTGTACCTACTTCAGACCTTTCCCCTAGTCTTCTTGACATAGAACGCACCTCATCCTCATTCTTTGTGTTGCTATACATAATTTATACTAAAAATGACAAAGAAACACCCAAGATCAAAATCAAAAACTCCGTTACTCGAGTCTAAGCTTGACAAAGAATTGAGGAAGATGACAAAACCTTTTGGAGTTTTTAAGAAAGACGCTCTGGGGATAGATAGATCAGATTCAAACGAAGTTCAGAAGCACTTCTTGAGGGGAGCCTGGAAAGATGGCACACTTAAGGATTACCATTCGGGAATTGTGAAACTCATGAGATTTGCTGAAGTCAAGAAAGAACCCAAGAATGACCTCCTTCCAATCACTTCACATACCCTTTTACATTTTGTCGTATGGGGTTCGAAGAAAGGAGACAACCAAGCCAAAGACAACGAATCAGTCAAATCCTCGACGTTGAAAGCCTATATCGCAGGGATCAAAGTGTGGCATCAGTTCCACCAGAAGAAATTCCTGTCAGATTCGGACGCTTCAGTAAAAAACCTACTAAAAGCGTCTGGGATGGTTGAACTCAAAGCCAAAGAGGTTGAAAAGCTCCGCCCACCAGTCCCAATTTCCGATTTGAAGATTCTGGTCGACAACCTGTCCGTCACGGTCGAGCATGGGCTAGTCCTGTTGGCCATAGCTTTGGTAGCCTTCTGGGGAACCTGTCGGCTGGGCGAGTTGGTATCAGAAGGGGATAAGAGCAGAGTGCCACGTTGGAGAGATCTCGCTTAGTTGGTAGACTGGTCTTTTGCAACAATCACAATCCACGGTGCCAAAACGGCTAAGCCCGGCAAAGTCCAATACGTTCAGATTAGAAAACAGAAATCACAGTTAGACGCCTTTCGAGTCCTTCAGTTACTAGACTTGTTCAGACCTAGACATGGAGACGAACCGATTTTCTCTTGGAGAGACCCTAAAGACAATAGAGTCTGGGAGTATCAAAAGAGCACCGTGATATTAACGTTGAGAGGCATTTGGAATGCAAATCGACCAGCAAACAAACAGATACTATACGGCCATTCTTTCCGTATTGGAGGTGCATCTTTGAGGTGGAACTTGGGTGCTTTGAGAGAAGAAATTAAGGAACTGGGAAGGTGGAAATCGGACGCATACAAGATTTACTTGAGGAAATTCGATCCAAGAGAACTGAAGGAAACGGTTAAACTGTTGAAGGAATTGGGGGTAGAGGACTAAAGGGTGAGACATCTGTTTGGTAGATGGGTCCTTGTGAATTCTAATGATGAATCTACACAGGAACAGTCAACCTAAGTTTTGAGAACAGAAGAAGCCAGTATTATTGGTGATATAATCTGGCGAGACAGATTAGATGGTATCGAGCTAGGAAGAGAAACAAATATTCTTGAAATAAGCATGTCTCAGATAGATGCAAAGCCTGCAGGAATTGTATTGGTTGATTGCAAGCTCTGCCTTGTCCCCGTCACGGTTAATCCTCGATGAGCAATATACTGAAGGTAACTTTAGAGTTCAACTGAGAATAAGGTTTGATATAAACTTTAAGTTCTAATTGAGTTAGCCCATGACATTCATTCCCACTCAATGGAGGGTTATCGGGATCGACGGTTTGAGGAGGTCTCCTACTTCTTTGTGACTGGGGCAATAGACTCACGAGAGTCGAGGTTAGGGTGGTTTGACTCCTCCGGCTCACGGCTTGCCACCCGTGAGTCATGGGGTTGACGAGTCTGCCCTCCTCAGGCCTACTCTTGTCCCCAGGGGTGATAGATGTCGGATGTATGATCCTTTGTCATCCTACATTTATTACCTCTGGGCCCCCCCCACACCACACTATGTAGGATGTTAGCCAACTAAGGGGTAAGTTCTACAGTGGTAGAATAGGCCAGTTGAGTAATGATCAACACAAGCCTGTCTCAAGAGAGAAGGCTCCCCCTCCATAGATAACATAGTGTTTACACATATGTTACACAGACACACCCACTTGACATCACTCTACGTATGAATGGATAAGAAATGATATGAATGAAAAGATGATAAGGACTATTTATCCCAGAGAAACGAAAAGTAATGAAATATAATGATTGAAGAGCTATTTCCCCTTAGCCTTCTTTGATGTTGCACGTTTTGCTGCTGCTGCCTTGCGTTTTTCGGCTGCACACTTGCGCTTTTCTTCAGCGGCTGTTGAAAACAACAATGTCAGAAAGAATCTATATCAAGGTAATGAATGAATGATCAAACAATTCAAAACCCTTGACTTACAAGGTTTCAGCGTGATCTCATCTTCAGCAGCCTTCTGTTTCTCGGTAGCAGCTTTGCATTTGTTTGACTTCCCAGGTTTAACAGTTGTAACATCTTTACTTGGTGACATTGGTATCTTAAATTTAATCTTGATGGGAGGATTAACTTGGTTGCCAACAATTTCAGAATCTGATACCTCAAGACCATTTGGAGAATGAATATCTTCAGTATCACTTTCCTTTTCTTTGAGAGCAGGCAGGCCACCACCAAATGGCATTTCCTTGCTAGGCATTGAAAAAGATACCTTGTGTTGTTGGCCTGGAAACTTCTTCATTAGGCCAAGAATCGAGAATTCAATGTGAGACCTTTCGTGATCGAAAGGCATGCGTGAGTAGCATACCCGGGAGGTGTGACGGTCGCATCCTGCCAAGAGTGTCACATCTTGCTCGATTAGTTGTGCGAAACCACCATTTCTGAGCTCGTCATAAAGCCATACTCCCATTATACCCTCTACTGAACGCGCCACTTTACACCAATAATGTGCACCTGCCCAAAATCCCCGGGTAACTATGTGATATTCCACTTTGCCAATTGGAAATTTGGCTGGCCAATTGGTATGATCCATGAAATTGCTACGCTCTGCCGCATCTAATTCTACAACTCCATCTAAGTGAAAATATAAGTGGAGAGGCACCACTGTAGCGTCTGTGAGATCCAGTTTGATATACTTATACATCATACCAACCTCCTCGCCTGGTTTGGGTTGTGGCCCATCTAATGGATGACATTGGCAACAAATACGGCCGCTTTGATAAACAAGACCATTGGTGGCCCATCTGGCTAACAATAGGGAGGTGTCTTCATATCCAAGTGCAGAATCTCTAAACAATGACGTGGTTACATGTAGAGTAGTCCTAGAATCGTCAGTGACTTTCGCAAGATGTTCATTGTCATGACTACATACTTCCCTCTTAATGACTGGAATCGAAAAGAGAGGAGCAAGGGATGGTCTGGAGGGTGTGTGATCCTGGAATAGCCGGTGCATAAACCCGTCAGCAGAGGCATGTTGATCTAATTTGAATGCTGCTTTGGCAAAATCCTCCATGTCTAGGATTGCTTGATGCAAAAGAGTCTGACCTCGTGATAGGACATATCTGATACTTTGTTGATTGAGTTCCGTGTCGCAACGTTTGGTGAAATGTTGCATTAATACCGCGAATAAGTTGGAACCGTTGACTGTTCAAAATTGACCCCATAAAGGGCCAAACATAGCATAAAGGCATTCAAGGGTTGACGATTGCCAGCATCGGTTCGTGGTACCTTTAGTAACACCTTTTGTATAAGACCAATAAGTTGTTAATGAATGTCGAATGATATTTTGTGATCCCTTTGGGCGACCAGGTCCTTGATGGGGTTTACTGACTTTTCTTCTTTTTGAACCAGTTTTAGCATTGTCAAGGAGTTCCTCTGTTGTATTGGGTGCACGCCCGTCATTGGGTTGGTATTTGCGTTTGGTTGGTCTGGCCATACCCATTGTTTCAACCACATCTTCCCAATTTTTGTTAGACGTGCCGTAAGCAATTGAAACACCCTTTCTCCCCGCCCGATAATCTTGCTCGAGACTTTGAGAAAAAGCTAACAACTGAACCATACCTTCAATGAATCCACATTTGCCCTCACTGTATCAAAAGGTGGAATTATAATTATTAGAAATCATCAAATTGAAAAGATATGAAGATATGAGTATATACCAGAGCATATAATAGACGTGGTGCATTGACTCCTGCGCGTTTGTAGTTGCTGGTAGATCATCTTGACGTCGCGGTTTCCTCTTCTTGCCACACTTTCCTTTAGATTGAGAGTCCTTCGCATCATCTTCTTCTCCATCCAAGGGAGGATCATCATGTTCCATACGTTTCCGAGCGGGGAAAAGCATAGCTTGAGTGTCGGCCGTTGACCACCAGTGAATCCATCTCTTCCCATTTGGAAAAAGCCGGCTCAACTCATCAAATCTTGAGTCAAGGTCTTTACCTGGTTCATCTGGTAAAAGCAAAGCTTTACATTTAGATACCCAAAGTCCCTAAACATAACAAAACATCTTCATTAGTATTAGTATGATTATATTACAATGATATAGGAACGTTTGGAAAGGGAAAGGAAGTAACCTGTAAATGTGGCTTGACTATTGAGCTATTCTTCTTCATCCGAGTTATTGACTGAGGAAAAAGTTGCTCGCAACCGTGTAGCTTAGACAGTGCAATATTGCGATTGTAGACGTTGAAGACTTCCATGTAAGCGTCTATGAAGCCCACTTTTTGAGCTTGTGAAAAGTCAACAACTTGTTCACATAAAAGTCCCTTGTCTTTCTCAGATAGTGAAGATTGTTGTATTTGTCGTAATAAAGTGATAAAATGGGACTTGTAGTGACTGCTGCTAAGTTTGTGGAGCCAAGTAAGCAGGACAGGAACCCATCTTTTGATTTTGTTGTTGTACATTGATGTCGTCAATAGGTAGCCGTTTTCAAAAAATCAATAGGTCACGCCGGAGAGAAGGCCCCCAGTGTAAGGTTCTGGTTTCTTTTTATCCTGATAAACCAGAACCTCTGCAATCCACTCAGTCTGCAAAGACAAGTGAGTGTCTTCGGGCATGAGGGAAACTGACACTATTCGCATGCCCTGCCTGTGAGATAAATGTCAACATATCAGGAACACTCGGTATCAGTTCACAAGTATAAATCTCACAACTATAAATGAAAGTATTAACGAAGAGAAGCCTTACCTTGCCCAATGTATAATAGATAAAAGCCATTTATCTCCCCCTTCTGGGCCCTTTTTATTGTTCATCAAACCATTGTTTACTAGGACATCTCGACGCAAGTATCCTAGACGGTTGGTGTGTCCAAATGAGGGATGTATATCTGCAACTGACTTGATGGGTTCTGTCCCAGTGTGTGCATGGCCCACCTGATTCCAAGGGTTAATATGTGATAGATATGATTTGAGGATATTTGGACAAAAATAGTGCGTACCTTTAAAGCCCAAGGTCCTTTCTTGGGCTCACAAAGAATTCGCTCTTTTAGCTTATCTTTGGACAGAGGGTCCGCTTTCTTCGAGTCTGGCCATGCATGTTGGTGAATGCCTTGATGACCCAAGACAGACCAAGTAGCAGTAGACTCAGGGTCCTCCAGATCAACTTCTGTATTGACTCAACATTGGGCGTGACATTCAATGTGTACCTGATATCCATCACATCCAGATATAGAGCATGGCCTGTTTGCATAGATAGAATATATTAGAATGTTAGACCTCTATTAATGATTAATAGAGCTTACTTACTTATCTACAGTTTCAGCAAGCTTTTTGGGGTTGGTGGGCGGGGGCACTTGAAGTTCGCAGTCAGAATTGGAGCATTTGATAACTCCAATACAGTAGTACCGTCGTATGATCCACTTCTCATTAGCGGATGACTCGGTTTGCATGGTATGAGACCATCCAATATGGCGAAAATTGGTGATTTGGTCTTCAGGCTGCTTGACAAATACCGTTTGTCCATTGAGATAAAGGGGAAAGCTTTGTTCATCGAGTATGCAACCATGGTCGATGAAGGTGACATATTGCGATTTATCAATAGGTAAACAGAGTTGTGGTTGTGACTGGATTGGAACCTCCGATTCATCGACTATTGGACTGGACACATTGCTTCCGTCATGCTCAGATTGAGACCTTTCTGAGCATGAGTTGAGCAATTGCCCTGCTGAGTATGAATCAGACATTGGAAAAGAAATTGATTGAAAGAAATAGAATAAGATGATGGAAAATTATTAATGTTTATTGAGACAATGTAATACCTTGAGTAAATGAAGGAATAGGTATTGAAGTGTTATTGTTCGAGATAATCTCGTTCGAAACTTGTTCTGGAGTGTTTCCAGCGGCACATGATGGGCCATGACCCATTCTAGCATGTGAGGAGGTTCTGGCAGCTCGGTAAGGTTTCTTTGAGGTTTGATTGAGTTCGGATGGAGGTATAATCGTCAATCTTTTTGTTAGATTTTGTCCAATCCTCCACTTGGATATGTGGGAAAGGTTTTTGGATCAGGTAAATCATCTGATCCAATGGCATGCATTCAGGTAAAAACATCTGGTCGTATTCCCCTTTGGCCAAAGTTGTGTACACCAATATATATATCGGGATATATATCGGTTGGTGTGATTTGTGTATAAACGCTTTCAGCGTGAAATTCAAAGTATGACCCCCGAAGTGGTAATATTACACTGGGTCTAATTACACCAATCTACTTGGTGTGATGTTCCCGGTGTAAATTTGATGGCCGGGTATCACTCTGTCACTACACCAGATTGCAAATTTACCGCTGAGTTTAGAAAATTAAAAACACATAGAAAATTATACACAAGGCAGAAGGGGCCAAAAAAATATGGAAAAATATGGGTTGCATTCCCCTGTGTGTGCCCATCATTTTGCATATTTTTAAAGATTTTTACAGCAGCAGTGTATATCAGGTCAGAAACTTGGTTTATGTCCAAAACTGGCAGTCATGGAGGCATAACCTTGTGAGACCAATAAAATTGTCAACTTTGTGTCAACATCTGGAATGTCTGCCCATTCTGAAAGCTGCATGTTTAACTTACCAGATACACATTAGAATGAGTGGTGTGTGTCCAAAAATGAAGAAGGTACAGCAATCACCATCCTCAACAGTAAAGCTAGAAAAGCTTATAAATCTGTTCCACAAGGGTTTTAGCATCCAAATGGAAACTGTAGATCCAGTATGTGGCTTTCATAATGCACAACTGCCAGTTTGATTGAAAGAAAATTGTTGTATTTGTGATTGTTGAAAAGTTTCTGCCCAAGCCCGGGTAGTTTTGGACAAGATTTGAGTTTCTGACCAAATACACCCCAAAATCATTTTTCTATGTCAAATCTTCAAAACTCAAGGTAAAAATATGTAAAAATATGCAAAATGATGGGCAATCAAAGACTGATTCAACCATATTTTCTTTAAATTTTTCCTACCTCTCATGCATTTCTGAGAATTTTCTACATCTTGACTTTTCTAAACTCCATGGTATATTATTGATTTGGTGTAGTGTGTGTAAAACTTTTCGGTGCAAAATTCAATATTCCCCCGGGTACAAGATTTTTGCACTGACATATTTTACACCACCTCTCTCTGTGTAAAAATGTCAGTGCAAAATTAAAAGTCACGTGCGGGTCCAAGACTTTTGCACTGACTTCTTTACACAGAGACTTTTTACACGGAATGTAAAAAAATCAAATATGTGTAAAATTATAATTGAACCCAATGCATTTTGAATTTTACACAGTCAAGGTTTTACACCAAGTGAGTCTGTGTAAACCGCCCTGTGTAAAATTCTCCTACCCGATACACAATTCCATTCAATTTGAAATCTCCCAGCCTTCCATGGACAACATCAATGAAACGGATCAATCCAACGGAATGGTCCTTTGCACCTGCTTTCACTGTATCAAAGTTAAGCATACCAGTCCAAATGGCAACAAAGTGAACGGTATTTGGCTTCATCCAGCAACCCGCCGAAAACACAGGTCAAGACTTAGCGACAACACGGAAGGTACTTCAAGTCTCATTGCACTGGCCAAAGATTTTTCCAACAAGGCCCAAATCACCAATGTCAATCCAACAGATGTCAGCTCTGAAGAGGATGATGATACCTCCTCTAAGAATCCTAAACAACTCAAACTTATCTGTAAGATCCACCAAATCCTCCCTGTTCTTGGACTTAGCTGACAAGAACATTTTTTGAACTTTAGATCTTGTCATGTATTGCATAGGTTGGCTATACCTGGAATGTTGAATAAGCCGTGTAAACTACCAAAAAGCAAGGGACTACATTATGGGTATTGCTCAAATGTGTACTCAAATCAATCCGCAAGAAGGCTGGACTTCATTTGTTCCAAAAGATGTACGGACAATCACATATTGTTTGAATCTTGAAGCCGAACTGGAGTGATTTGTCTGTTGCTCTGTGTGCTATTCTCTTTACGAGCCGGAAGTTGCACCACCTGAATGCGGCTATCAAGAATTGTCAACTACAAAAGTCTGTGGAGCCGATCTGTTCTCTAAAATCATCATACCTGAACTTCCGGCTGTAACTCGTGTATCTGAGAAACGACCCTGTCAACCTATGAAAGCTGATTTCACTACATTAAATCAATAATTTACCGTGGAGTTTAGAAAAGTAAAAATGTAGAAAATTTTCAGCAATGCGTGAGAGGTTAGAAAAATTTGATGAAATTATGGTTTAATTGCCTGTGGTGTCCCATCATTCTTCACATTTTTTCTTATTTTTACCTGCAGTTTTGAAGATGTTGCAAAGAAAAATGATTTGGGGTATATCTTGTCAGAAACTCAGATTATGTCCAAAACTACCAAGGCTTGGGCAGAAACTTTTGAGCACTCACAAATACAACAATTTTCCTGCCATAAATTTGGCAGTTGCAAATTATGAAAGCCACACACTGGGTCTAAAGTTTTGATTTGAATGCTAAAACCATTACAGCAATGTTTTATAAGCTTTTCTAGCTTTGCTGATGAGGACCGTGATTGCCGCGCTTTCTGTGTTGTTGGACACACACCACTCATTACAATTTGTATGTGGTAGAATAAACATGTAGCATTCAAAATGTGGAGACATTACAGATTTTGATGCACATTTGACAATTATGTTGCTCCCACAAGGTTAATGCCTCAATGACTGCCAGTTTTGGACATAAACTGAGTTTCTGACCTGATATACACTGCTGCCCTAAAAATCTGAAAAAATATGCAAAATGATGGGCACACATGGGGGGATGCATCCCTTATTTTTCCACATTTTTCTGACCCCTTCCACCTTGTGTATGATTTTCTATGTTTTCTTAATTTCCTAAACTCAGCGGTAAATTTTCAATCTGGCGTAGTGTTTCAAGAAACCTATCTCAACATTTATTATTCAAGACTTCCAAGAATGGCTCACTTGGTTCTTGTCAATACGTTATGTTGAAAGCTCAATTGACAATTGGATGGAAGAATGTAACTCAAAAGATGACAATGAGATAACTGATTACATAGGAAGTCCAGCGTGGAAAAACTTATTCCTGGGCTGTCAAACATCTGCATCGGCCTCCACTTTGCAACCACCTCTACACCTTGCATTCTCTCTCTTTGTTGATTGGTTCAACCCTCTTGGCAACAAAACCTCGGGAAGACAGGTATCAATTGGAGTCTTTGGAATGCAATGTTTAAATCTACCGCCTCAATCTTGTCATCAAATGAGGCACACGTCTCTAGCCGGAATGGTTCCAGTGCCTAATCAGCCCAACATGACTACAATTGTACATGTAATGCATCCATCAATCAATCAAATGCTACTTTTGAACTGTGGTGTGTTGGTCAAAACTCATTGATATCGCGAAGGTCACAAGGTTGTCATTCAATTGTCAAATTCAAGCGGTGACATAGTGGGAAATCATAAAGTAGCCGGTTTCACATCACATTCAGGGACACGCTTCTGTGGGTGGTGCAATTGCGAGAAAATCAACATACCAAAGATGATCCTGGGTTGTAAGCGAAACCAAAGAGAGACATTGGAAGCGGCTCACGACTGGAAAAACAGCCAAAACCTAGACAAAAGAAAAAAGAAAGTTATAGCCACTGGGGTTTGATGGTCCAAATTGAATCTATTGCCGTACTGGGATCCGGTCAAGGATGTTGTGCTAGGAATTATGCCCTGTTGGTTGGAGGGAGTCTTGGCTAATCATTTCCGCTATAGATGGAAGATTGAAGTGGATAACAAGGAGGGTGAAGGTTGGCTTGACGGTGAAATGAAGAAGGCTGTTCTGCAAAACTTGCAAGAAGTCAAGACACCTCCAGGTGTGACAAGGATTCCTACTGGGCTTGGAACCGCAGCAAACGGAAAACTCAAAGCAAGTGGATGGCATTCTTTGTTTGCCACTCACCTGCCACTTGCAGCTGTCGACCTCTTTGTTGGCGATTATGAGGCATTTGTTGAAGGTCGAGGTGATTCATTTCTTCACAACTTACTTATGAATTTTGTGGCTCTAGTAGAGGCAACACACATTGTTACATCAAGGAAGGTTAGAAAAGGAGATCCAGAGAAATTCAAAAAAGCTTACTTTCAATATACAATCACAACAAATGATATTGATGGAGATTGAGTAATCAAACCGAATCATCATTATGCCATTTATATGCCATTTCAAATGGCTCGGTGGGGTCCTCTAATGGCGGTGTCCAAATTTTCAGGTGAATGGCTATGTGGTTTTTTGCAAAAGATCAAGACCAACGGAAAAGTTGGTGAGTACATCATACATTCAAACAATATTCTTTGAAAAGTTTTCATAACTGATTTGACTTCTTTGATCCTTAAAGGAGATGGGGCAGACAATTATGCAACGGTTTTGTCATCAACAACGCCTGCTGTGCAAAGCACCGCCTAAGGAACATATTCCTACAAATTTTTTTCAGAGAAATATTGGCCAACTCTTTGAAATGGACAATACAACTTACGAATCATTGCTGGCATACTATCAAAGTCAGGATACATCGTGGACCAACTATCAAAAGCTACCTCACCCTAAATCAGCGCGTATCCTGCCTGCTTATGCTCACAAAGTCGTTGGTTTGATCAGCCAGTCTGGGATGTGGTACAGCAAGAAGGGCACTTCCAACATGGTCAAGGTGGAACATAACGATAAGGTTTCTTGGGGTGTTGTGCTGCACATTTTCGAATTGTTTGAATCAAAAGATAGGATTGTGATGGTGAGATGGCTGAAAAAGAAGGTCAATCCGCTCCTTGATCCAATCATGGATTGGTTGGGGTGGGTTCACCTGGTTTGCACGGTGAAGACCGATTTTGTTTCAGCATCACAAATCCTATGCACACTCTTTCACCGGGCGCTACCTGCTTGGAGTCTGGGTTCACAGAGCCCTAGCTTACTCCTTATTGACTTCAACCCTGGGGACTACAACTCAATGGCAAATGAAGACATGGACAACGTTTATATGGCTAATGCAGAGGATCAAATGGATATTGACTGAGGTCAATTTTTACAAATTTTTGTCCTCTTACTTCTTTTTTTTGTTACCTGTATGACAACTCTCATTTGTAATCGTTTCAAATGTCTTATGACTCGTGCTTCAATGACACAAAGAAATCCTCTTCAATCAAAAATCAAACACATTGGCTGTTCTGAATACCGGGGTGACATGGGGAAGATGAGAGTGACATAAACAACCAAGACTGATCATAAAACTAAAACTAAAAACAACTGAGATGAATCAAAGTAGAAAACTAAAAACAAACTAAAAACAACTACAAATCATTCCACTTATCCCATCGTCAAGCTCGGGTGTCGTCCTCAGCTTCTTCCATATTGTCATCATCAAGCCAAAGGTTGCCTGTGCCCTTTGGCTTCTCATGTGTTTTATTACTTTGGGCCGGTTGATTACCTTTGCCTTTTTTTCAAACCCCCTCTTCTTTGTCTTCAAGCTCTGTTTCATCTTCATCCTCCTCAAAGTCTTCCTTGTTATTGTCCTCCTCATCCTCATCCTCCTCCTCCTCATCATCAGTGACATCCACATCGATAATTTCATCTTCATCTTCATCATCTGTCTCGTCCTCATCATCTGTACCTCCTCCAGCAGTTAAGAAATCCAAATTGTAGCCCTGAGCACAGCTATCCCAATTCTTTTTGGTGAAAGCTTTGTCCTTCAGGTGTTCGTCGGGGTGAGCTTTACCTAGTAGTGAGAGCTCTACCCCCGGCAAAAAGCAAAAATTGTCAATGTCAGCCATGTGACTCCTCTGGGAAATTGACAACGTATTGTAGAACAAGTTGAAATCGTAAAAGTCAAATGGAAGGCCTTTTGGAGCCTTTTTGAAAATTGAATCCTTTGGTTTGGTAGGTCGGAGACGGCGGCGTATTTTAGTTTTTGTGCGACCCGCGATTTCTGAGGAGATCTTAATATGTCCGTCTAGTCTTTGCATGAAGATTCCGGCCTTCTCTGATCAATACACTGGTGTCTTAACAATGTAAGCGTTCCTTTTTTCACAGAGCTTGTCATCGCTGTGCGCCTCAATCCAACCAAGAACTTTAATTTAAAATGATGATATACATGGTTTGGATATATAATTTTAAACTAGCATATCAGAGGCGGGCCGCCGCTATCAAAGACTCAAAGTAGGAAAGACTTGTCAATAATAAGTTACCTAACAGTCTCTCTCATTTTGATAGATGCTCATAATCCTGTCATCAAATATGGTACCTTTTTGATCCCTGTGTCGCAAGGATGTATTTCAAACCTTGTTTTGTACAACACTCTCAAATATTGTACTACATGTTGAATTTACATTTTTGATTCCAAGTTTTTCAAAAACTAATTAATGGAAGAACCAAAAAATCAGTTGACTTATTCCAGGGAAACAAAAAAATTGGTTAAAAGAACTGTACATTTCTTTTCTGCTCCAAACCAAACCTCAGACAAAGCACAGCCTGATGCATAATTGATGACTTTGGAGAAAAAAAAACGTGGAGTTTTCAAAAAAAAACCCCTTGAGTTTTTTCAAAAAGTGACTGAGTTTTTCAAAAAGTCACTGAGTTTTTCTTTGAAAACTCGTTGAGTATTTCCAAAAATCAATGAGATTTTTTGAAAAAAGTTGTACGAAATTGGTGCATCAAATCACCGGATTGATTGATCAATATCAAAACTGGGCTTCGTGACCGTTCAATATCACATCTCCACCTCACCGCATAATCAACCATGTATCCTGATCCACTCGATGTCTTCACTCAGTCAGTCAAATTATGAAGGAAACATTGATAAATCACCTGGAGGTCCAGGAGGCCTGAAATCTTGAGGGTAGAGGGTCTGAATGAGGAACTTAGTACCACACTTCTAGTTACTGCCAAAACTTTCAGAGAATCTCATCGTTTAGTAGGAAGTGGATCAAACACCTTTCAACCCTGTGTGAAAAGGTTATAACAGATTTTTTTCAAGCAGATCAATCCTTGTATCTAAGGTTCTTTCTGGTTCTTTCTACATAGGTCTTTCAGTGAGATCGAAACAAAACGATTTGGTGATTTTTCTTTTAAACACGAGGTATTGGGTGGCCCGCCACCCATAGGAATATAGCATCTTAGCAGTGCTCTATTCCTCAACGAGTATTTCTTTATCTTGCTGTGACATTTCATTACTGACATTGCCTATGCTACTATACATGTGGTAGTATTACACTAGAATTCTACATTCATTAGGCCAGATTAGTACTACATATTGCTCTCTCATGTACTGTGTATCCTCTTCTCATGCATTTCTTTTACTCCTCAGACCGGTCGTTCGACTTCTCTCACAAAATCAAGCTATGTAGCTTACCTTCACTTGCCACATAGCCGAATTCACACCACAGCTGAAGAGTTCTCCCATCAATGTTACCTCACTTCCAATAGCAATCCAGTCCTCGTCCAGATTGTCCGGTCTCCGTATCCAATATTCCATTTCAAACTCTGTATAGCCAAACACCTGCAGATATACATTAGCTATATCCATTTCTCTTTGATTAGTAGCAGCCACTCACCTCGTTATCGTACTCCCGATGGGTAACTATCGCAATTAACCATTCATCTACGTCCTTGTCCCCTCTTCTTTCACAACTGCGTACTACGCCTAGCGCAGATATGAACACTTTTCCTTGACACTCCAATATGGCAGTATCCTTATTGATGACATTATTCCTTTGCGGCATGATCCATAATTCCGTTGTTTGAGTTTTCTTTTTGATTAATAGAGATCCATTGACACTATAGGCATGCTCCGCTGTCAGCTCGGAAGAAGCATGTTTGTCAACTACTATGAGCCTGTCTGTGTGGTTGATATGGAGGTTGTTCAAGGCGGCGGCGTTGAATCTTTGACGGTACTCGTAGTCATTTCCTGTAACCTACATATCACAGTTAATCGTAAGGAAGCACATCACTGTCAGGGGCTACGTACCTTTTTGCCAAGGGTCACAGTACCTTCCCACGTTACAGGCAATCGCTTGTACCGAAAGATATCCATGTTTGGGGGTTTTGGCGTCAGAATTAAATATGAGTGCTTGAGTCAGCGAATCCCGCGTTCGTACAGCTAGGATTGTAGGCTTATTGATTTTTTGAAGAAACTGAAGTTAGGTAAGAAGCAGTGATTATGGCAACCCCGTCAACTTTTATACATATTGTTTACTTCCTCATTACGACTGGTTAGGAATTTCCTCGCCATCCTAGCCTTCATCTTGAACAAAGCTGCATTTTGTCTTAGCCCGGTTTCTCAGACGTTTAGCCACATGTCATCTTTCGCTCAGCCAAGAGTTTTATCATGAGAATGTCTAGTAGCCACATGTCAAGTCTTCGCTCAGCCAAGAGTTTTATCATGACACTACACCAAATCAATAATATACCATGGAGTTTAGAAAAGTCAAGATGTAGAAAATTCTCAGCAATGCATGAGAGGTAGGAAAAATTTGAAAAAATATGGTTAAATCACTCTGTGAGTTGCTATCATTTTGCATATTTTTACCTTGAGTTTTGAAGATGTTACCTAGAAAAATGATTTTGTGGTGTATTTGGTCAGAAACTCAAATTTTGTCCAAAACTACCCAGGCTTGGGCAGAAACTTTTCAACAATCACAAATACAACAATTTTCTTTCTATCAGACTGGCCGTTGCACATTATGAAAGCCACTTACTGGATCTACAGTTTCCATTTGGATGCTAAAACCCTGGCAGAACAGATTTATAAGCTTTTCTAGCTTTGCTGTTGGGGACAGTGATTGCCGCACCTTTGTCATTTTTGGACACACACTACTCATTCTAATGTGTATCTGGTCAATTAAACACACAGCTTTCAGAATGGGCAGACATTCCAGATGTTGACACAAAATTGACAATTTTATTGGTCTCACAAGGTGAATGCCTCCATGACTGCCAGTTTTGGACATAAACTGAGTTTCTGACCTGATATACACTGCTGCCGTCAAAATATTTAAAAATATGCAAAATGATGGGCACACACAGGGGAATGCAACCCTTATTTTTCCATATTTTTTTGACCCCTTCTGCCTTGTGTACAATTTTCTAAACTCAGCGGTAAATTTGCAATCTGGTGTAGTGTGAGAATGTCGAGCCGGTCCAGCTGCAACATCTTATCCGCACTCGACATAACTGACCTGAAGTCAGACACCTAGATTAGCATCAACAGGCAGAGATATCGTCTGGGCCAGACGCTACTGGTCTTTGTGGTCATCAAATGGCATGTAGCTAAATGCATTACAGACTCAACGTACAAGAAATTACAGATACAAAGCTGAACATTAAACGTTCTGAGGCTTGCATGTACCTCAACACACTGTGTACCTACCTCATAGCTTGATGTGTGACGACACATGTTGTTTGACCACTTTCTTCGGGACCGGGCAAAGAAACAGTGGTATTCTCTGCTGACGTACATCTTCATAAACCAACATACAGTTGTCCATGCGCGAAGACTGGTGTCGGTAAAGCTAGACACACTGTCTCTAAAGTCTGACCTTGGGCTTTGTTGATGGTCATCGCGTAGGCCAAAGTGATCGGGAACTGTAACCTATAAAATGAAATCGGAACTGACTCACTCCCAGGGTGATGAATTCTCATCCTTGGCAGACTCAATAGGTTACCAGCTCTTGGACCGGTGATGATTTGACATTGTAACACGTTATCACAAACTTCAATTATCAAAAGTCGTGTGCCGTTACTTAGTCCCTGCTGCAAATTCAGATTCCTCAACACGACCACAACTGCTCCGATTTTCAATTGTAATCGATGTGCTGGAAAGCCTGCGAAGTTGAAAGAATTCAAGACTTCTGTGCTCACTTGCTCAGCCCAGTCTAGATCCATTTCATCCACTGATTGGTAGTGTTTAACGCGTGACTTCAACTTGTCTAACATAAACTGATTCATTACGTTGACCGTTTTGTCGAGAGGAGTGATTACAGCGCGACTCGAATAATAGACAGCGAGTTGTGCCCAATTTTGCTGGGTTATCAATCCATGAACTTCCGAGTAGAATTTGAACAAAAGAGCCTTATCAAACAAATGAGCAGGTTTGTAATACTTGATTTTGACGTGCTCTAAATCTATCAAAGCAACCGGGTCATGTTGCAGGCTCCCAGAACCCAATCGCAAAAGCCAACTTGCAAAGTCTTCACCACCAGAATTCGTTGTGTCTGTTGTCATTCGCAACCTAAGATCTTTGGTGAGGCGGAACCTCTCCACACATTGCCAAATATAACTATGTTTAATGGACGCACGAACAGCATCTAAGAGACTACCATGAATCGCGACCGGCAAGATTTGTCGGAAATCTCCTGAAAAAAGGACTACCATGCCACCGAAAGGCTCATCGGATGATCACAGATCTCGGAGTGAGCGGTCTACACATTCGACTGCCGACTTGTTCATCATAGAAATCTCGTCCCATACCATGAATTTAGCGCCTGATAACATCAACCTGGTCTGATCGCTCCTGGAAAAACTGCAAGTTGATGTCTCGTTAGGTTTTAATGGGATACCGAGTTTGGAATGTGCCGTTCCACCGTTTAACAACAGTAGTGATGCAATACCTGAAGAAGCAACCGCTACATATGGTATTGCGTTTGCGTTGCAATGGTGAAGACATAGGTTCAACAGAAATGTTTTCCAACAGCCTCCGGGTCCGTCTACATAGAGTAGGCCACCTTCATCGCCCTGTAGCCTTTCTTGGACGTGGTCAAATATAGCTTGCTGCTCCACTGTCAAAGCCTCTAAGTTGGCTTTCATATGACTTCGGCTCGCATCCTGGGTCGTGCCATTCTCATCGTCGTATTTTGTAGGACCACCAATGGCGAACAACAAGTCGGGATTCACAGCTTCTAAACCTACGTCGTGTAGCGTTTTGCCCATGTGTGCCACGATGCTCTCCATTAGCAAAAGGGCGTAGTTGTTTAGTTGCTCAATCGTGGGCTTGATAGTTGGTGACAGGAGTGCCAAAGTAAATTCACAATCGTTGGAGAATTCTTCTATGAAATTGACCCATAATTTCATAGGATTCGCGGGTGGGATATGAACCAAGATCAGGCCAAACAACTCGCGAAGTTGTCTACCAGTTTTGAAACGGGCTGCTTCTGTTAAGCAGGCTTCGATGTGAGTGTCGGACATCAATAGACCGAGTGCATCTGCCGCGGATCTGTAACTCTTGTAAACTTGGCCGTGGATTGTTTGAATGCTATGGAATGATTTTGGTCCTTGTACATGCGTAAGTAGTATTCGCAAGTAGTAGCGTTCTCCATGGCTAGGACCAGCGAAGTGGAGTCGGCTGATGGAGACCGTTTTGTTCACGCGAGGTAACCACTGTTTTTCTTCCTTAGACCACCAGTAATGTTCGGTCATCTCGGTATAAAGTAACGATCTAACACGTCCCTTCGATTTTGGCAGTACAGCATTCATGACACATAGGGCAAAGAATTCCGTGAGTGTCGTGCGCACTGCTCGGCCCGAGTCAATCGCATTAATGAGCTCTTCAGTGTTGTTGAAGTATACAGTATGTGCATTCTCGAGATGTAATGCTAATCGGGTGACGGAGGGCCATCTTCCGGAGAGAACGAACTTAAACAAGCGCCAAACAGCTGGGAGAGATATTCGTTAGTAATCGGTCTTCCAGATTTTTTGACCGAAGAAGCAGCTCACCTTCTGCAGCCGCTAATTCGCGCCCATCAATGAAATCATCTGGTTTGTTTTCCGCTTCAAGCTTTACAACACGACGATCATGTCCTTTACTTATGTATTTAAACAAGTACTTCACTGACTTCATTCCGACAGTGACTTCACAGTTAATATGACAACGGAATTTCAACAATAAGAAGCTGTTGTACGGCACGACGTCACGGTTCGTGTACCGGTAGCCATTCTTCAAGAAGAATCGGCCATCGTCGGGACGTCTGTATGCCGGGTAGGCGTTTTCTGACACTACAGTGGTTTCCGTGAATTCTCGAGGATAACCATATTTGCATTTGGTACCAGTCCAGCACGTTTTGCCAGCGTGACAGGGCCCGTGGAGCATGAATTGAGTCACCAACACATATAGTTGAGGGGAAGTTGCTGAATCGGGAAGTACGGCAGAGACAGTCAGGTCGATTTCTGAGGGAGTTTGCGGCGTAGTTTTCCGATCATTGATTAAGACTGCGTGGTCATGTGGATTGCCACGCTTCTGAAACTCGATTGTGTCAACATTAGATAAATTTTAACCGAGGCGACCCCTTTTGTACACATCTTCATGCATCTCGGCGAGCTTCAAATGGAAAACACGAGCAACCAGGTCTGGCCGGTCGGAAGGGTCTTGACCTGGCAGAAGAGCTTCTAATACTTCTGGCCATTGGGGGTTGGCAGTCATTGTAATAAAGAAGCTGGGAGGCCCGTACCACTGGACCAAGGCCATGGCAGCGTGGAAAAGCTCTTGCATAGCACGAGGGCCGCCAATGAATGTGGATGGTAGGATAATCTTCTTGCCGATCGCAAAGTCGTTGTTGTTCAAAGCGTCGGTGGCGCCTGTGTATAAGTCGGCGCGAATTTTCTTCTGTTTCAACTTAAAGAATTTCATACGGGCGTTCTCGACGCAGACATACATATCGACCAAGTGTTCCTGAAATAGGCGACCACCTCTCAAGATTGGAGAGAAGATACCTTCGCGGCTGAATAAGGTATAGGCAAACCATTCGAGATTTGAAACTTTGCCACTTGGTCCTAAGGCGGTAAAGCAGACAGATAAGTATCGTATTGAAATTACAAAGATTAGGGACCTTACTTCTAGTATTCATGTGTCTGTAATGTTCATCCCAACCGTGGGATCCAAACATAAAGAAGATTGGGTAGCGGAGTGAGAAGTAGTTCGTATTCAACTCCGATATCCTTTGTAATTTACCACTAACCCGCTGCAAAATGATATCGCGATCAAGGGACCCGATGACTCCATCTCCGTCAATAACTGCTGATACCTCATCACAGGTCGGAAAATTATAACGATTCTTATCCCGTCCAGCAATAGGCATCAATTTGATCTTAATAGTTTTGACAGTATTTTCGTTCAGCAGCTGCTCGGCAGACTTGTACGTTTTTGCGAAGGGGTTGTGAGTATACATGAAGGCTTGGAATTGTCGCATGAGTGGAATATCGAGCTTGCCGCCAACGAAAGCACTCCTAGCCGCTCCTTCGTTATCGCCCTCGTCTCCAAACATAAACATTTGGGCGAATTTCTTCTTTACACCGGGTTCAGAGAACAAAGAACCAATGCGGTGAGTCAGTCTTCCACTGATTTTGTAAGTCCAAGATCCACCCTTCCCCGTTACTGTCATGTCTTGCTTTGTACCTGTCGAGGCGAATGACAACGCATTATTATAACGACGGATATTTTTCCTGAAATCCTTCGAAACTGATTATAAAGTTAGTTCATTGAGCAGAGGGATGCAGAGAGGATGTCGACGTACTCCGGTCTTGCTTTGAGAGCAACTTTTGCAGAAATAACGGCGTCATGCGATTTTCAACTCGGTGGGTAGGCAGTTTGACAGCGCCTCGCTGGCAGCAGGTCAAGAAAGACGCCTTATCGGCAGTCTTTGTACCCTTAGGACGCTCAAGCTTCCAATGCAAAGCGCCGCAGTCTTTACATGGGTCGGTGCAGGTCCTGATGTTGAAAGGCATCTCATCCGCGAACCTTGTTAAGATAGAAGACTCAGTATTCTCTTCTGCAGTCCTCGCAGCCGGACCGTTGTTGACCATTGTAGAATAGTTAAAGAGCAAAATGTTGGTTATTAGCAATACGCGCTGGGTGCGTTCAGTGGCTAAAGTCCGGAAGAAGGGTCAGCAGCGCGCTGGAATATGAATGCTTGGTAGAAATGTAGACCTACGCGAGCGAGAAGATAGAGAAATGCACGACGCAAAAAGAAACAAAAAGCTCTTTCAAAGAATAAGAAGAGGAGATGGGTCGAATAAGCCTGAAAGAGTAGTGGTGCGACGAGAAGAAAGAATTAAGAACGAATTTAAAGTAATGGAAGAGTCGATGGGTCAAAGTGAGCGGGAGGAGATGTAATATGATTGACGATATCAAGTGAGTGCGTTAGATGGCTAAGGGTGGAAAAAAGGGTCAGTAACAGACTGGAGAACAAGAGCTGAGTCAAAGCATAAGCGCACCTGAGTTGAAGGACAGTGAAAAGGACAATGCGAAAAGAAATGAAAGACCAATTTAAAGTAATAGGAGCCCGGTTGGGTCAGAGGGCCGGAGAAATGAGGTAAAGAAGTATCGTTAATTAAGTGAGAAGGTGCAATAGGTCAAGTGTGTAGCGGGAGGAATTGTAAACCAGAGCGACGAAGAACTGGTGGGTAGTGAGCACAGGAAGATTTGGTAGCGGGTAGTGGTTTAACGATGAAAGTGGGTTGGGTAATTGGGAGATTGAAATGAAGGGAGCTCGAAGATCGAGAAGTGGATGAGTAGGAGAAGAAGTATTGGGCCATGGCAGGGAGATAATCATAATGCCTTACATGGGTGTGTTCGATGTGGACCCACAATGAAGCAAGGCTCCAAGGGGTCATACCTCGGCGCCTTGCTGGGTGATGGACCAGCTGGAGCGTTAGGAAAGGACGGTGCGGTGTGGTGGCTAACTGGTTAGGCGTGATCTAGTCAGTAAGAATAGAAAGAGTATGGGGCAGTTTGGGACGGGTGCAGCGTCAATTGAGAGACAAGCATGTGTATGCAATGACCGGCG